AATCTGAGGACTCACATCCAGAGTCGTGCTTGGCACTATCTAGTTTTTTGCTATTTAAAAGAAAGTGCCTTTCTGCTTTCCTAATATATCTGATTCAAGATTCTGATATATCTGATCCTAATATATCTGATCCATTAGTGGTTGAGGTCCTTGGCAGTCATTTTGGTTCAAAGAAAAATCCAAACACAATGACACAATTTTTATTTACATTGAAAACAAATTCAGATGAGTTTTAACCTTTTAGAGCCTTTGTGAGTCTAAAGTAGTAGAAAGTATGGAGGAGCTAGAAGTATCATGATCAAGAGAGGTGATTATGCTTTCTGTGGATTTGTCAACTCCAAATCACAATTAAGAATAGTGTGAGGTCTTGACATAATCTGTGGAGTGAGTGTGGTACGTTGCTTGTCTTCTGGTAGAACTGGCCTGATTACATCCAGTCTAGGAGTCCCATGCTATAAAATCCGGTCTGGAAATATTAGCATTTTAGTTTAAATAGATGCTTTGGATAAATGTAATACCCTTTGAGCAAGCAGCATTAGAGAGGGGGAAACATCAGTTAAGAAAACTGCCCTGAAGCGCTACAATCTGCTTGGTTAACCTTCCTGCTCATGTTAATGATATCCTGTTAATTTTCCTGTCCTTGCTTTCAGGTGATCTGAAGCACATCACCAAACTGAAGCCATGGGGTCTCTTTGAAGTTCTGGTGGAGAAATATGAGTGGGCCCAAGATGAGGCAGCTGCATTCACAGACTTCTTATTACCGATGCTGGAGCTGAATCCTGAGAAGAGAGCGACAGCAGCGCTGTGTCTCAGGCACCCCTGGCTCAGCTCTTAAAACGCTCCGGCCTGGCACCACATGGCCCCTGTAGTTGGGTTTGCAGCATATAATATATACAAACCTAGATGGCCTCCTTTTCCCAAGTCAATTTTTTTCCTTGTTGATTTTCAGAGCGAAGCTTCTCCTCGAGGGCTTTTGAGATTTTAGATAAATCTTAACTGTTCATGTGAGTTTGTGTACTTGGCTCAGTCAGGACCGTTGTCAGCCAGTGGGCGTCCAGTTTGCTTTGCTGTGGTTGGGGTTTGCCAAAGAGTTTTTACAGAAATGTGAAATTACCCCTGACTCTCTTACTTGCTCAAGTACCTTACCCTGAAAATGTGGGGAAATCTCCATTGGGACACACTCCCTTAAGTATATTGCAGTCATCCCAAGGGGGATGTGAAGAGCTGTGAATCCCTCCTTAGCTCACTGACTCCGGGAGTCATTTTCCTAGTGCACATCCAGTTGCTGACAGTAAGAGGAGAAATAGCAAATGGCACCAAGGTGGTAGCTCCATGTGGAGCACTGAACTCTCAATTCTCTACTCATTCCTAAAGTCTCTGATCTGCTGCTTGGGTAATCGCCCCCCCCGGCATACTTTCCCTCTAGTTTTAGCCATTGAATCTTTTGGAACAGCCTGTATGGAAATAGATTTTAGTATCATTTTTGTTCCACAGTATTCTGGAGAGTTTCTGAGTCCAGTAAAGTAAGCAGCTGTCCCATGCTGTAGCATGTGAACTTGAAATACATTTTGCAAGGGAGATGAAAGCAACAGGAATTGGTAGAAGTAACAGTCTGTGTGAGACAGGCCTAAGCATTTGTTGCCTGCAGAGTTGCAGCCAGATTGCCCCCATGTTTGTACTGGGGCAGTACATGGCATGCCAACCATGTATTTTGGGACAATAGGTGCTTGATGATTATGTGGGTTTCTGTCACCTGAAGGAGGCCACAAAAGCAGGGGAATTAACCAGCATCTGGCAGGCCACTCTTTACCAGGTCTGCCTTATGCCTTTAATAGCACTAGGTCAGCCTTGTGTGAAATCGTATTTTCAGTAGAGAGCTGTTAGTTTTCTTAGAAGAATGAAATATATCCTTACCCTTTAACAATAAGTAAAAAAAGGATTGAGGGCTGCCTTTCCAAGCAGTGCTGTATGCCCAGAGTTTCAGCCACCACATCTCCCAAGACTCTTGCTTGGCCCTGTTAAGTTGTCTAAGTTGCTGGACTCTTGACATTTCCCTTTCTTAATAGAATTCCTTTTCTTCAATATGAACACCAGGGCAAATAATATAGGGGATGGAATAATTTCTGTCTTCCCCCTTAGAGACAAAGTATCAAATTTTGTTTTTGTTTTTCAGAATCACTGCAAACCGGGTTGCTCAGCAAGACACAAATGTAAACTTTTAAACTCCTAAGGAGAGGGGGTTAGTTGTCACTGATTCTTGTAGGTTATTTTTTTTTAAATAGAGAAAGGTCAACGGTATGTAATACTTGGTAGTTTTACAATGAGTGTCTCTTAGGCTTCCCCAGGCTATAAAATCCCCTTCCTCCTACTCTAATGTAAGGTTTGGGATGAGTTGGTACCTCCAGCAGCCCTGCCTTACTATGGACCAAAATAGGCCTTTGAGATTATAAAAATTCTCCATGGCTATAAGCTGCTGGAGGCCTCAGGCTTGCAGGTACTGTGTCAGGCAGTCCGTTGCAAAAGCTGCCAGCAGTGTGATACTGTTGTTTTTTGTGTGTTTTGAAATCTCAGTTTATAGTAACCTTATTTTTCCCTTTAAAAAAAAACCAACTGGCTCTGTTTTGTTAAAAAAAAAATTAGTGTAACTATCCTACCCCGTTTCCTTTCAGTCCGGCCATGCTGTTGTTTGATGCCTGACTAGGCCTTTGGCAGAATCCGTGCTGCATGTCTATTTAAGAAATCCGAAGTAAAGTTCTCTATGCACAATCATAAGGTGAAAAGAAAAAAAAAGTTTTAAAAGCAAAATGATTCTCCTGTTATATGGAGTGTCTTCCTCACGTCCAAAAGCACTTCTGTGCCTATCTGTAGAGAGATTTAAGATGGGATTAGAATGTATAATACCTACTTTCTCTTTGAATACTGTGAAGACTTGCTGGCAGGGAGAATTGAATTTCTGGTGTCAACCTTGTTTGCTTCAACATCTTGGCTACCCGAATGGAGCAAAAGCTCCTTGGGGCGGGAGCGTGTGCATCTCTTAGTTCAAATACAGGTTCCCCTCCACAAAAGAAGGCTGCTGCCTCTTTTGCACTACAAGAGCAGTTCAGGTTAATACAAGAGAACTTGTCAAGATTGCCTAAGTATTTTGTGCTCACATCAGGTTCACTCGACTTCCAAATTGCCATAAAGTGCTCACTAACAGATTTGTACTTGTTTTGTTGGCCTAAAACCTGAAGGAAAAAAAATACATTTTTATTCTTTCTATTGTGTGCATTGTCTTTTTTTCCTTTGTAAATGCAGCACAATAAACAAATTATTAAATAAATCCATAGGCACTTTTTGATACACTGTTGATGTCCATCCATAGGGTTTTATATAGTAGTGCCTCTAATTGGCTGGGGGGATAGCCAGCAGCTCAAATTAAATATGATTGGTGCTAATATGATTGCTTTGGAGGGTGGCATAGCATGGTGATGTAAGTATCCTATTGATAGAGAAGAAGCACACAGAATTTTGCTGACTAATTCAGAAATTATGGTTCTATTGTTTGTAATGCTGCAGAAAGTTCTTGACTTAATCCTTGGAAAATCAAACCCTGATGAGTTGTTATTCAGTCATTCCATTATCAGAATCAAGACAGTTAAGTACACTTTGGAAATGTCGCCTGTCATCTAGGTCTGATAATTGTCTGAAAAAGCGGGAAGATCTTGGAGGTGATTGTTTAGAATTGTCCTAGACTCTTGCCCATAAAGAGAACCCTGTTCGTATCCAGATTCATGGTAAATAATTTCTCTCAGGCTGACTGGGCATTTGAGTTAATACTGTTGTCTGCTTTTCCAGAGTTGCCATATCCGAACTGCCATTGGATAAGGGTGAAAGAGGAAAGGGAGGGATGGTAAAGTTCTGAGGCTGGCTAATAGAGCCGTTAATATAGAAAACCAATATTTCTGCATGTTTTTGAATACAGGTTTTGTTAATCTCTGCATTGTGGGAAACTTCAGTTAGACAAGTGAACATAGGAACACAATAAGACTGTTTCAAATCTGATTTAAAGCATGTTAATCTGAAAGTACGAGGAACTTCAAAATCAGTCTGTAGTGAATATAACACTCTTGTGCAAAGAAAAATCATATTACTGTAGACTAAAGTATATTGTGTCCGTCCGTGTCCCCCGGTATTCTAGTACAACATGAGCAAGTGTTCTATTTATTAATAATTTTTATTTGAAAACAGCCAGCATATCTGTGTATTTTAATTAAGATTCATTCTGTTACTAAAATATCAGATACTTATGTGGTTAACAGGAGAAACACAGAGATCACAATTAAGATTTTAATTTAAAGACCCCCCATTATTTTGACAAAATATCCTAGATATTATATAGTATGTTTTGCATAGTTCCATCTATTTAAATACATTCTAGAGTTTGTTATAAACATTAAGCATAGCCAAATGGGTTTGATCCCAAAAGACCTGATACATAAATCAGTATGTATATATAACAACTTCTGCACTCCCTGTTTAACTTTCCCCAACCATGCCAGTGTTGGTACCTCCGTTTGACTGAGTCCCGTTCAAAGAATTCCCCAAACACAGAGAACTGGAGTCAATGAATCCATGCTGCTGACAATTGAAACTTCCTCAAGCAGAGCTTGTTTTCCTCAAAAGTAAGATTCCATGTCCTGGGGAGGGGTGCAGCATAGGATCCAACTCATGTATTCTTGAATGGAATATCATAATTCTTACCAAAGGAGATGGTCTTTTAAAGGAACTAGGCCTTTCTGGACTACAGAGAGTTTTGCAAAAGGAATCCTAACTTTAAACACCCTTGTGGTTATTCTTCTTGTGCCCGTATACAATCAAATATTTTACAGGTGTTGGTGCTGTAGTGCCTGACAGCCATGTGTTTTACTCAGACTTCTGAAGCCCAAGTTGGTTAGCATATGTATACTTCATTTAACCAAATGGCAGAAGAAGCAACACATGCATTACAGTCTTCGTCTTCATTCAAGTCCTTCTGCAAGACAAAACACATTCAGATTATGACTTTTGCAAATAAGGAATGGGTGTGTTACTTCCTGGTAGCCCCAGGTCAAATGACTGCTGTTTGGGGAACAGCTGCCATTTAGCATGTGACTATCCAGGAATACAAATCATAATGTATAAAATGCATGGGGTAGAATCTACCAGCAAGGAAGAGTAAAAAAGTTAGAGTGACACAGAACATGAGCTTCCAGTTCCAAAATGAAAGCCACTGTTGGCCATGCATAGACTGTTGGCAGTCTATGCTGCAGCTTTATGGTGAAAGCCGTTTGTGCCTTACATTTTGCAATTAAGGGTAGCAATCAGTTCAGTTTAATATGTGTACTGCCAGTAAATTCTGCTTTGGCACTGTGCCTCCCTTGATCAGACTGGCTGGCCCTTAATTTCGTGGATGTGCCAGGCCTTGAGTTCATTGTCCCTTTACAAAGGGATGGCAGGATGTGCGTTAGTAGCCACATTCCTGGTGCTAAATGCAGAGGTGTCAATATCTTTTGACAAACAGTACATCAGGCTCTGAAAGCTTTTGTCATATAATCACAAGTGCTTGAAATTTATTTGGTCTAGAAATAAAGGTACAGGTCCTTAGTCTTACATGAAGTACTGCACTGCAGATGGTTTTCAGTGATGTGTGATTGTCCTGATTCCAAGACTTGGGAACACCCCACAGGCAGTAAGAAAGACTTGTGCATTACATATTTCTTCTTGTATGGCCAGTGCTAAATTGCACAAATGATAACAGTATTTTGGGCTTCATCTCTCCCAATCCTATATGAACATTAATCTTAACAAGCTAGGCAGGTAGAACCTATAAGAACTGAATGCCACTTTGAATTAGAATACACTTCTGAATAAGTGCAATGGGAATTCATGGCCTGCATCTGTTTCACAGTCGTTGCTGTTCTCAGTGCCATGCCTAATATTCTGATACCTGGACCTTGTGGAGGGCATAACCAGTCGCTATACGATAGGACAGAGAAAGCAAGGTTTCACGCACAAAAGAGGATTACCTTTGTTATCTATTTGGAAATCAGATGGAAGGAGATTGTCTTGCCGGTTGCCTAACACAAATGCCAAGAAAGAGAGGATGAGGGCATCGAGGATCCCAATGATGCAAAGGATGTATGCCCAACGTACTGTGCACACACCTAGTGTGTATTTGTCAGTCTTCTCACCACACATGCGTTTCACCTCTGGGGAGTCCCAGCCATCTGGATAAAGCAGACAACCTATTGCCAGACCTGTAGCTGCAGAAGAAGGAGGTTTGATTATTATATCATTACTATATGACAGTAACACTATTAGTGTGGCATCTTGTCTCATGTAAGACAAATGCCTAGTAAAGGGAGATCACTATACAGAACGGTTTGGGAATGTGATGCTGGGTCTGCTAGAGGGCCCTTAGCAATGCAAGCAGGTGAGGAGGTGAGATAGCAGAGTGAAAGTGAGGAGTTTTGCCCATGTTCTCCCAGCTTTGATATGATCTGCTGCAACCAGGATCTGCTGGAATTACCTCTTTCTCATTACTTTGGATGTAAAAACTGGTGGTGAGGGTGGTCATCCCTGGGCAGCTTCCCTGCCTTTAAGATCCACAGTTTAGCTTGGCAGAGGATGGCTTGGATTTGTGCAAGCCCCCACCTTGCTCTGAACAAGTCTATGTGTTGTTTTCAGCGGCAGAGCCTTTCCCTCACTCCTGAGCACCCACACTCTTACCTGGATGTGTGTGGGAGTAGAGAGGAGGTTGCTAGCTCAAAATGAAAGCATTCTCCCTTTAGTATAACTCTTGCTCTTCTGGAGCACAGTCTACCTGCTTTTTCTTATGTGGGCTGTGTTTCTGAGCATTAAACCTTACCAGCCATGCCTTCCTTTAAAAAAAAAAAACCCCGAGCATGAGTAACATCCCTTGAGAACATCCCTTGAGAACAAAAGAGCCTGGATTGTTGGGACCCCTGTGTTGCTAGAAGTGGCTCTAGGGCATATTTTAGATGTTGCCTTGGCAACACCTTGTCAGTTCCACTGTGAATATACAACAGTAATTTGGTTGTAGAAATGACTTCCCTTGGGACTGCTCCTTTTATTTATTATGTTCCCCCCTCCCAGTATTATAAGAGGACTCTGTAGGATGTATGCTATCAGTCAGTGCCTCTGTGGATAAAGCTAAAGTAGATCATCCAGCAGCCTGCTGTTGAAGCTTAGAACATCACTAGTGTTCTAAGTCTGTACCTCTTTCCTGGAGCAGGCCCCTGCTTCAGCAGTTTCCTGCACAGAAGACAGGCTTGCATCATTGTCTTGCCTGGACTCTTGCAGGAGTGGGGTCACTGCTGGGGGGATGGACAAGGGTGAGGGTCTTTTCCCTTGCTTATAGAACAAAAAATACTAGGAGGGCGTAAGGGTTCATGAAATGTTGGGGAGGGGGGTTAGAATCCTAGTCTTTAGCTGCCTCCTTGGGGGGGGATTACCAGTGGTTGTGTGCCTTGGGAGGGAGCTACCATTCCCCTGGTCCTAGACAGAGGGAGATGTGGTGGTGGGATACAGTCTGGCCATTCCAGGAGGAGGAGGCCTGGCTGCTGGTTGGCCACTCCTCCTTCAAGTCTGCCTCCCAGCCAATGGAGACCTGGTTGTGCTGAGGTTGAGCCACTTGGCCTTAAGATTCTGCTGCTGAATGCCAGGTCAGTAAAAGGAAAAAGTACTGCCATACAGGAGTTAATCCTGGATGAACAGGCTGGCCTAGCATGTATTTGTGGAGTCGTGGTTGGATGGAGGGGGGGGGGGTTTGAATCTGGCCCAGCTGTGCCCTCCAGGTTTCTCTGTACAGCAACAGGCTAGGCTAGGCCAGGGGGGTGGGGAGATGGGGTCACAGTGGTATACTGTGATTCCATCCATCTATCAAGGTGCCTCATTCAGCAGTCTGCCAGTTTTTAGTGTGCTCCTGAAGGTGGGTGACTGAGACAGGAATGATAGGGATTCTGCTGGTGTACCATCCACCCTGCTGCCCAGCCCTCTCTCTTGCTGAGCTAGCTGATCTGGTCTTGCGTGTGCTAGTGGAGGCACCAAGACTGGTGATCCTGGGTGACTTTAACATCCATGCTGAAGCCAAGTTGTCAGGAGTGGCTCAAGGTTTCATGGCCTCCTTGATGGCCATGGGCCTGTCCCAAGTAATTACTGGCCTCACACATTTAGCAGGACACACTCTGGATTTGGTCCATTACACTGATGGGGAGAGTGATCTGGAGGTGGGGGAGTTAAAACTTACTCTCTTGTCGTGGAAAGATCATTACCTGATAGATTTCAGACTTACTGCTTCCTCTTTCCTCTGTAGGGGTGCTGGACCCATTCAGATGGTCCACCCTTGGATCCTGATGGGTTCCAGTCAGTGCTTCGGGATTTTCCCACCTCAGCTGTTGACAAGTCTGCTAAGACTCTGACTGCTCTCTGGAATAGGGAGATGGCCCAAGCTGTTGACATAAGTGCCTGTAAGCACTCTCTCCCCGTCTCCCTGGGGAATTGATGGTCAAGAAGGAGGAGAGAGGGCAGCTAGAGTGATGCTGGCAGAAAACTTAATCAAGACTGATGGAACATGGCACAGAGCCCATTTTAGAGTCTATTCTGTGATGGTTATGTTGACAAAAAGGCAATATTTCTCCACCACCACTGTCTGCATGTCCAGCTGAGCTATTTCATGTGATTCAGGGACTTTTACATCATTGCCCCAAGGAATTGGACTCTGACCATGCAATAGCCTACTGTGATCAATTTTCCCCTCACTTTACAAACAAAATTGCCCAGAGACACTCTAGGTAAGATGCCAGTGTGGACTAGGGTTCCCAAACCCCCAGTCTGGACACAGGATCCCTTGATTTTGGGGGCTTCTGCCTGTTGTTGGCCAAGCAATGGCATCCCCAATGCAATAATGTCACACGGAAGTTGGCAATGTTGCACAGTGACACTCTGCTTTTTGAGCAAAACTCTATGGTTTGAGCCCAATTTTAACCATAGAGTTTGCTTCAAAAGCAGAGTGTCACCTCCAACGTTGCCGATGTCACTTCCGCATGATATCATCACATTGGGGATATCGGCACCCACTCATGGACCACTCCCCAAATCCCCCTGCCGGCGCAACAATTTCGCCTGGCAGACCTAGTGTGGATGCATCTTCAGATGATGTACCTTTGGCACCTGCTTGTCCAATGTATATGGATACTTTTCAGCTTGTGGAGCCTGAGGATGTAGAAAAGTTTCTTGGGCAAGTGAGATGTGTTCTTTATCCTTGTCCTTCCTGGCTGATAAAAGCTGCCAGAGGGGAACAGGCTGAATGGTTAAGAGGAATGGTAAATGCTTCCTTGACAGCAGGAGTTCTGCCACCCATGCTCAAGGAGGCAGTGATTGGACCTGTTCTGGGGAAAAACCCAGAAATAAATAAGGGAGGTGATTAAAGCAGATAATGCTATGATGCTGGGAAATTTCAAGTACCTTCATATTGATTGGGTAAACGTGCTCAAGTCATGCTGTAGAAATGAGATTCCTAGACATCATAAATGACTGAGCACTGGAAGGGTCACAGAGCCAACAAGAGGGGTAGTGATCTTGGACCTGGTTCTGAGTGGGTCTCAAGACCTGGTGAAAGATGTAGAGGTTGTTGCACCAACTGGGAACAGTGATCACATTCACAATGCTATTAAGTTCAGCATTTATGTCAATGGAAAACTACCCTTAGGGCGCGATCACACGCACAATTACCAGCGCCATAGGTGCGAATGCCAGGCGGATTTAAAGGGCGCGATCAGACACGAACATCTGGGAAGCGCCCCACGCCCATCTGCAACCCATTTTGCTCCACCACAGGAGTGGAGTAAAAAGACACCAGGGAAAGTCTGGTAGTGAACAGGTTGCTATGGGCCACGGACGGACTTTACTCTGATCGCTCCAGCGTGCTCTGATGGCGTTGGGATGGTCTGATCAGGCCATCCTGACTCCGTCCCATTGTTTCTTCCCCCGTTCTCAGTATGTGCATCATCGCACACTCCATAGGGAGCCCTCGTGCTGAGATGCAATTCATCAATTGAAGAGAAATTCACCAATTTCAGAAACAAATGGCAAAAAAAAAAAAACCCCTCACCCACGGTTGCATCTGATCAGGCAGTGGCGGGCTGCCCCCACATCTTCAAAGGACTGTGTGATTGCGCAACTGCGGGTCAAATTCCTCCGGAGGGAATAGCCTCGCTCCCCCCCCCCCGTTTATCTCACACGTGTGACCGCACCCTTAAAGTCCTGTAACATTTGAGTTCAAACGAGGGAACTTTACAAAAGTGAGGGAAATAGTTAACGGAAGCTGGAAAAGACTGGCTGCTGTGACCTGGTAGACATATAGCTGGACTTTCAAAATGATTTTGGAAAGATACCTCACCAAAGACTCCTGAGAGTCATGGGATAAGAGGACAGGCTCTCTTATGGATGGACAGTTCTTACAGTGGTGGGAAGTAAGCAGTGGGGTCCCACAAGGATTAGTATTGAGGCCAGTACTATTTAATTTATTCATAATCTGGAATGAGGGGTGAGTAGTGTAGTGGCCAAGTTTGCAGATGACACTAAACCGTTCGGAATGGTGAAAACCAAGGCTGACTGAAGGGCTCCAGGAGGGTCTCCACAAACTGAGGACAACAATGTTGCAGATGAAGTCCAGTGTAAAGTAATGCACATTGGAAGACAAAATCTGAATGTCAAGTATACACTAATGGAATCTGGATGTGGTGAGACTGAGAAGGAAAAGTCAAGTTTATTTAAGTTTAACAGTCCATAAGCCATACACTATAAAAACATAATTTAGGAATTAAAAATCACAGTATAGCAGAAGTTTGCACAACTGAGAAGGAAAAAGATCTTGGGGGTCACAATAGATAGTTCAATGAAAAGTCAGCCCAGTGTGCTCTCGTGCTGAAAAAGGCAAACTCTTTGTTGGGGATTATTAGGCAAGGGATTGAAAATAAAATTGCTGATATTATAATGCCCCATATAGATCACAGGCAGGGCTTTTTTTAAAAAAGAGGTGCCAGAACTCTGACAGTAAGAGATCCCTAGTGGAGCTATGCATCAATGTGATGACCCACTCTATAGAGATTCCCATGTTTCTTTGACCCCAGAGAAACCTTGGTAATTTGCCTGACACCACTTGAAACTTGAGTTGAATTTAACAGATCTTCTTCGTGGTCTCTGTGCATCACACCCTTGGGATACTCTGCGCCTGCGCTGA